TATGACATATGGACTGTTTGACTATGCTATAACTCTTGCTGGAATCTTGCTGCACAGTGTATCTGTCTTACTGAGTGTAAGCTACTACAACGTTTTGTCTCACATATCTGCCTGCCTGCTAGACTGCCGTTGCACGTTCTGCTAGGGTGTATATCCCTAACAGAGGTTAAAGTGAATTCCTCTCCAGCAAAGTCCCAGATTTCACAACTACAGACCTTGATCAGGCTAGGAGAGTTGCCAGGCCGATAGCTTCCAAGCGCCACACTGTAGCAGCAATTACTTGGCAAGAAGTCAGGAACAGATCTTCACTCTAACGAATTGAACTAATTGTCTTCTGCAAATCCCACTCCCCTTTTGCTCCTCTTTATTCCCTATGGGAGGGGCCATTCACCGTCCACCTGTGGCTTTACTCCTGAGTTGGCCCTTGTTCCTTAGCTTTTCCCTTCTCCTGGCAGCTCTGTGCATGCGCACATTGGGAACAGGCTCCAGCTGTTCTTCTGTCCCACTGATCTTTGACTCTGAAGGCAGCTGATAACTATCAGATGGCCCTGGCCCCATCTCTGCCTCTGACACAGAGCCTTCCCCAGACTCCGGGACTGGCCCATGTTCCTCCCCAACCTCCTCACTGTCCAAGTCTGCCACCAGCTCCGCTGGCTGCTGGCGGCCCACAACAATTTCTGTCTAGCCAGATTTAAACACTGATGGGGAAAAAATCATGAGAACAGCATTTTTATGGAGTGCTATGGGAATGAAAATAATTCCCTGACATCCACCTAAATAGGCGTGTATATATTATCAATAAGCAAGCCTGGGCAGGTCTGCCTTGCCCAACCACACAAAATGAAATCTTAAAATAGTATTTATGTGTTACAGCATGGTCATTCTATCAAGCGCCCTCTTTCTCTGAGTTGGATCACATTTTCTGCCAAATAACATTTCTATAATCTTAATGCAGGCATCACCGATGCCACTGTTATTGTCAGCCATGTGTGGCAGCAACCCCAAAAGCTAATGCAATTCTTGGTTGAATAAACAGAGGCATAGAATCAAAATCATGTATTAGTGCCATTGTATAAAACCTTAGTAAGTCCACACTTGGAATATTGTATCCAGTTTTGGTCACCACATTACAAAAAAGATGTTGAGACTTTGGAAAGAGTGCAGAGAAGAGCAACTAAGATGATTAAAGGCCTGGAGTCTAAAATATAGGAAGAACAGTTGGAGGATTTGGGTAATGGCTAGTCTAGAGAAAAGAAGGACTAGGGGCAGAGGTGATATTCAGCCAGTTCTGACAGGTTCTGGAGAATCAGTAGCAGAAATTTTGAGTAGTTTGGAGAACCGGCTAATTCCACCTCTGACTGACCCTCCCCCCATCTATTCTTTGCCTCCCATTGAGTCCCAGCTGATCGGCTAGGTCTTCTTTGGTTGCCCTGCCCTGGAAAGCAGGTTAGTGGGGTGGGGAGGGAATGGGGATTTTACAGTATCCTTCCCCTGCCACACCCACAAGCCACACCACGCCCACCAAGCCACGCCCACAGAACCTGTAGTAAACATTTTTGAATCCCACCACTGACTAGGGGTGACATGATGGCAGTATTCCAGTATTTGAGGGGCTGCCACAGAGAGGAGGGGGTCAAGCTATTCTCCAAAGCACCTAAAGTCAGGACAAGAAGCCATGGGTGGAAACAAATCAAGGAGAGAAGCAACCTGGAATTAAAGAGAAACTTCCTAAGAGGGAGGACAATTAACCAGTGGAACTGCTTGCCTCCAGAAGTTGTCAGTGCTTCACCACTCTTTAAGAAGAGACTGGACAGCTACTTGTCTGGCATGGTATAAGCTCTCCTGCTTGAGCAGTGGGTTGGACTAGAAGACCTCCAAGGTCCCTTTCAGCTTTATTCTGTTCTAATCCTAATTCAACAACCAGATTTTCTTTACAGACCTATTTTTTTCCTCTGTGGTCAATTCCTACAGAATAGAAAGCTTTATATTTAAATGAATGAATGAATGAATGAATGAATCAATCAATCAATCAATCAATCAATCAATCAATCAATTTAGTGTTTTTTTAGGGGGGTGGATGATAATAATCAGTGGAAAGAGTAAGATTGGGCTCCTGAAATACAGAATGGAAGCTAAGCCATTTCTTCTGAAGTTCAGTTGAAACAACACAAAGTATATCCAAAAAGGTTTAACCTAATTAAGGAAGGTGTTCCCTCCAAGGAAACTCTACCATGGAGCACAATCAAATCACTATTTGGGGTTATAAACCCCACCGTGACTTTCTGACAAATAAACCCATTGATTTTTGCATTCAAGAGAATCCGAGTATTGCTTAGCATTTAAATAAGCAGCCGGTTGAATTTCTGTAATGGAAAACATGTAGAACTGGAGATATGGAATTGAGAATCGGGCTTAATGAACCCAGCGTTGGTTTTTGGGGAATAAGTAATACAGAATAAATCCTTTCCCTAGAATGACAAAACATGGGGATTTTTCACCCTATCTCTAAGTGCATAATTATTTCAAAATGTTCTAAACTTCTGGTCCTATGATAACAACTGGTGATGCCACCAAAATAATGCATAAAGGTTCCCCTCGCATCTATGTGCTAGTCGTTTCTGTCTCTAGGGGGCAGTGCTCATCTCTATTTCAAAGCCCAAGAGCCAGCGCTGTCCGAAGACGTCTCCATGGTCACATGGCCAGCATGACTAAACGCCTTTGAAGGTGCACTGAACACTGTTCCCTTCTCACCAAAGTGGTCCCTATTTTTCTACTTGCATTTTTTACGTGCTTTTGAACTGCTAGGTTGGCAGAAACTGGGACAAGTTAACGGGAGCTCACTCCGTCATACAGCGCTAGGGATTCGAACCAATAAACTGCCGACCTTTCTGATCGACAAGCTCAGCATCCACTGAGCCCATGTAAAACCTATATAAAAGGTAAATTATGTCAAGTTTGCCCTCCTGTGGCAGGATCATGTATATTCATAAATGCAGCTATTTTAGTTCTGAACAGTGCTGCATATCTAGCTGTATTTTTTTTTTTTTTTTTTTGAGTGTAGCAGTGCTTCCAGAAAAAAAGTCTTTTTTGCTTCATTCAGAAGATCTTGCAAGTTTTAAGATGAAGATTTAAGGTGTGGAGATCCCCACACATGAAAAGATAGTAAAAAAAACAAAAAACCAGAATGGGATTCAACAGGTGTAACAACCAGTTTGGTGCAATTTACTCTTGTGGTTTGCTGGCAACCTGTGCAGACGGCAGTGGAATCAGACAGTGGGGCAGAACAGGGTCAAGTCCAGGAGTCTGCAGAGATGGGGCCAGGACCATCTGGGAGTGAGGTACTGACTGCGGAGCCTCCGGAGTCTGGCAGCAGCGAGGCAGAGGAACAAGGGGAGCCTGTTCCCAGTGCGCGTGTGTGCAGAGCTGTTAGAAGGCAAGAGCAGCTGAGACAAAAGGGGCGACTTGGGAGGAAGGCTTGGAGGTGATTGGCCCTCCCATAAGGGATAAAGGAGAGGCAAAGGTAAATAAACCTTTGTAGGAAGAAAAGTCATTCACTCTGTTCGGATTAAACCTTGAAGCTCTGTGTGGACTTTGTACTTCGGCTGTTTTTTTACAGTTCATTTGGCACTCTAGTTGTTGGTAGCAATTCAAAGGAGAGAAAGGTGGGTGCTTATCTCAAGGGACTGTTTGGGACTCATTACAGGCTGAGAATGAACATAATTCCCAGCATTGAAATAAAACAAGAGTTGTTTTAACTAAGCGTGTGCTTAATTATGGTCTCAGGCAGCCTTGGTCAGAACATTTACATACTCCAGGTGTTTTGTCCACCCATCTTCTGAGAATCCTCAGTAATGTTAGTAGGAATGTTTATGGAGATTCTCAGTCATCCAAGTCATGGTTGTCCCAAAAGTGCTTCCCCGCCCCCCCAAAAAAAGGCAAGTTGACTTTTTTTTTCCTTGAAGATGTTTCGCTTTTCATCCAAGAAGCTTCTTCAGCTTCCTGGATGAAAAGCGAAACATCTTCAAGGAAAAATAAAATCCCTTTTGGGAAAAAAATAAAGAAGCACCTTTGAGACATGTTAGTAGAAATATTTTTATGTGCAAGTCTATATATTCATGTGTATGTATCATACTTATACAAAGGGCCTTCTTGGCTCTATACTCTGTCTATTTGTCTATCTGCAAACTATTTTGAATTTTTAATCAGGAAATTTGGGAAATTACAGTGTTTACTAAATAAAGGATTTGTCAGAAGCAGGTATTTCTGGATGGAAACAACAGGATGATGTTGTAAACAACAGGAATTTTCTTAAATTTCATTTATTAATCATCTTCATTAATCTCACTGATGCTTTTATATATGTTCTTGTATTAATTAGAATATATTATTACATCTAACAAAAAAGAATAATGAAGATGTGATTTGGTTTCCAGGAACAATGCAAAACAGAATTAGGTCAGTATGCTTCAACTAACGTTTAAATCCAGGAAATGTTTAACAGGAATGACCAATAGTAAGAAATCTATTGATTTGGATTGGGAAAGAGATTACAGTAGGATAGAAGCAAACACATCCTCAGCAGAATTAAAATTTCTGCTTGCAGATATATGCAAGATTAAATAACTCAAAGGAAGGAAGATGCATAATGGTGCATTCATTAGAGGTTCCGTATCACATTTGACAATATCAAACTCTGGGGTGATACTAAAGATATTAACTAAATTTGGTCTTGAAATTTCTTGAATCACTAACTTGGCTACAAACAGATGAATGACCACTAGGTGGCAACATTAGCTTGCTGTATCTCTTTGCTGACCTCTAGTGGTGATCTAGAATTTTACAGCAAACATGTAATATGTATTCACCGTCAAGCTACAAGAAGAAGAAGAAGAAGAAGAAGAAGAACTAGTTACACAAAATGGCAACCTGTTGCCCAAAAAAGTTCAAGAGATGCAAAAGAGATTTTGCAAAAGAAAAGGAAAAAAAAAGTTGTGAAGAGCTTAAAAGAGTCCACAATCTTTGAGGTTCTCTTTGATGATTATATCTGTTACAGCGTCAAACACAAATTTCATGTTCTGAGTGTCTGTGGCACAAGTCAAGTGGGCGTAGATCTCCTTGTCTTCTTTTCTGGTGTTCAGGTCTAAAAATTGTTTCTTAATATAATTTCCAGCGTCTTCAAAAGTGTTGGGTCCTGCTTGGAGAGAAACACAAAGGGGACTCTTCATAAAATGCATTGTGGTCTAGAATGCCTTGTTCTTTCTTTACCCACACAAGGTTTCTATTCCCAACACCCACCAAGAAAATGCAGATTTTGGTAGGCCTGGATTCAAAGAATCTGAATGTTGCAAAAGGGCATGAATCTATTGTGTGAATGTGATCTTTGCAGAAAAATCATATACCAAATTTTCCAAATTTGTGGATGATATTAAGCTGGCATGAATAGCCAACACTCTAGATGATAGGCTCAAGATCCAGATGGATCTTGATAGACTTGAACCCTGGACCCTATCTAAGAAAATGAAATTCGATGTAGAGAAAAGTAGTCTTATGCTTAGGCAAGAAAAAACAAAAGTACACCTATAGACTGGGTGAAACCAGGCTTAATAGCAGTAACTATGAAGAGGGATCTTGGAGTCTTAGTAGACAATTAAATATGAGCCAACAGTGTGTAGCAGCAGCCAAAATAGCCAATGCAATCCTAAGTTGCATTAACAGAGGGATACAATCAAGATCAAGTGAGGTACTAATACCACTCTATAAAGCCTTAGTAGGGCCACAGCTAGAGTACCGCGTCCAGTTTTGGTCACCACATTATAAAAAAAGATGTTGAGACACTAGAAAGAGTGCAGAGAAGAGCAACCAGGAGGATTAGGGGACTGGAAACTAAAACATATGATGAAGGGTTGCAGGAACTGGGCATGGCTAGTCTAGTGAAGAGAAGGACCAGAGGAGACATGAGAGAAGTCTTCCAGTATTTGAGGGGCTGCCACAGAGAGGACAAGGGGTCAAGCTATTTTCTAAAGCACCTTTGAAGGCCAGACAAGGAATAATGGATGAAAACTGATCACAAAGAGATTCAACCTGGAAATAAGGAGAAATTTTCTGACAGTGAGAATGATCAGCCAATGGAACAGAAATTGCCTTTAGAAGTTGTGGGAGCTTCATCCCTGGAGGCTTTCAAGAAAAGACTGGACTCCCATCTGTCAGAAATGGTGTAGGGTCTCCTGCTTGGGTGGGGGGTTGAACTAGATGACCTACAAGGTCCCTTCCAACTCTGTCTGTCTGTCTGTCTGAATTTTGCCCAAAGAAGAAAATTTACCATCGTATTCTGGAAAGCAGACACAGAGGTTGGTTTTAGTGATTTTTTCTTGGAAAAGGTCTTTCTTGTTGAGAAACAGCACAATAGAAGTACTGGCAAAGTATTTGTGGTTACAGATGCTGCTGAAGAGGTTGAGACTTTCATGCATTCGATTCTACAAGAAGGAAAAAAACAAGGTGGTTGTTAGATTAATGCATTATTCCTAACTGCTCCTATGAAGAAGAACATCCAGACTATTAGCTTCTTCCAGCAAACCAGAAGGAAATATATATAT